GCGCCGGGCGCGCCACGGGCACGGCCGGGTTTGTCGCCGCGGCGCGCGGCGCCGGACCGGCGGGGCCGGGGGCGGGACGCGCCGGAGGCTCGGGCGGGGGCTCCTCGCCGCCGAACCACATCCTAGCCAGGAAGAGGCGAGACATGAAGTCAACTGGAAGTCTGTAGAGGCGCTGATCCACATCAAGCACCGTCTGTGTTTCCCAAGCGAGTCTCGACCTAAATTCAAAAAGAACAAAAAGAAAAAAAACGTCCAAAAACATCACTCATATCCCCAGACACTCCATGGGACTGCCATATATGCCAATCAATTGACCCCCCAAACCACCCCAACTGATCGGCATCTATGGAATCTATGGCAGTCCCATGGGTCGTGTCTGGATGTGTCTGGGATCTATATGTCATGATATGAGCTGTCACTTCCTATCGCGTTCGAGAACGTGCTCCTGTTCAAGTGCTCCCGGAGCTTGCGGCACCCCCAAGGGTCGACCTCATAGTCCAAGGGCGCCTCGGTTTGGCATGAGGGGTCCTCCCTCTAGGGGGGGGGGGACCATGAAACGTTTTATAAGACACGAGGACCCCCCTCATTTGATCGAGGAAATGGCCACGGGTATGATCGGTCCATCTGGGGACCACATGGCAGGTAGGCCAGACCTAGCACGACCAAGTGCTGAGTCGAGATGCGCCCGATTGCTGATGGTACCACCACTCCAGATCCTGTGCTGGGAGAGGAAGAGAGATAGATACACCTTTGCCTTCCAGTCGGGCTTTGTGAATCCCAACATGGGCGCCATCAATCACTTCAGAAGTTCTCTCCGACGAACTGACTAGTGACTAGTGTCTTCTGGAAATCTGCCGACTGTCGGAATCGAGAGCCTTAAGGCAGCCCCCACGGACCCGACTCTCCTTCTTTCAGAAGCTCTTGGCGTGAGCCACACATACGGTAAGGCGGCCACTGCCCAGTCGACGGACTCCCATTCGGGTCCAGCCCACCCAGCCGCACCGCCACAACGCCGACCCGCACGCCGTCGACGCCGTCGACGCCGTCTCCTCCGTCTCCGCCAGCTCCGTCCCATAGAGCATGTTGTGCCGCTGGAGCCAGTCCAGCGAGCCCAGCCAACCTGACCGCGTCCGAGCCACGCGCCGCGCCCGAAGCGCGGCGCCCCCGGAAACGGTGCTGGAGCCAGTCCAAAATCCGTTGCAACGCCCTGCCGAAAAACCTATCACATCCTATCACCTAAAAACCTTGCCTTCACCTGCCCCTCCAAAGCCCCGCCCACACCATGTGATCCTCTTGACGAGCCAACCTGACGGAGGGAACATCTTCCCAGCTGACCGGTCGCCGCCCGACGAACCCAGGCAGCGGGCGGCCTAGATCTCGCTTGCAGTCGACGATGAAGACCTCCAGGTTCCGCGTTCCGCGCGTCCGGGCGAAACGAAGGAACGGTCCCACCGGCGCGGCGCGGCGTTTGGGGGGCCAGGTCGTCGATGGAAGGAGGGAATGGAGGGAAGAACAAGTTGGAAGAGCTCCAAGTTCAACCAGTTCTGATCCCTGTTTTGTGATGCACGGGGCAGCATGCCATTGTCACACATTGACCACCATTTCATGCATATGCTTGATAAAACCGACAAGGAGGGTACACTCTCGAGTGACTCCCTTAGTTTCAGAAGTACTCCTTTGTACGACACCCAACGCTTGCATGTCAGACTCAATCTCGTTGATTCCCGTTGTAATCCCTACTGCCTGGAACCCCAAACAACTAGAAACCAATGGTTGTTCCAATATGGCAATTGAAATCCTTTACATAGGAAATGGTTGTTTGGGGAAACATCCATTTCTTTCTGGTTGGGACTGGGGTTCCAGGTAGATCAGGGTTTCTGATCCTCAAACTGATCATGGGAGGTGGCATGGCTCCGTCTTCAAGACGGTAGAATGGCTCCCACGGTCTGTCTGTCCAAAAGAACATTCCTGTTTGACCACCGACACCGAACACCTGGCTGGTGCGGTCCCACATCATCGCTGCGACAGGTTCGGACACATCGATCCACGTCCTCGACCTTCCCCGAGGGCGCTGATGTCGCATCGCAAGCGTCGAACCCCAAGTGCGGGAGAACCCAGCGCGCCAATGCCCCCACCAACGACATGGGAGATGACAACCAGGCCGCAGATCTGAAAATCCGCTCTGCGGTCTGTGTTGTTATTACTTCCGCGCATTCTTTTACCCTGACCACTGACAACGGAATCAAAGATTCCCCCACGCAACACACCCACCAAGGCCACCGGGTCCCCGCGCACGGCGCCAGCGGCTGATCTTCCAAGCGCGCTGGATGCGGCTGGCCGCCCAGTGCTGCGGCGCCAGGCGCTTCACTGGAGGTGGCAGGGCCTCCAAGGAGCTTCTGCACCATGCTGGACATCGAAAGTTGTTGAAAGTTGTTGCCCTCTGCACGACAGCACCAATGCCTTGTTGGAATTCTACGTGTCATTAATGGCTGCAATCTCTCGCCATGATCTAAAACCGGACCCTCCTGCAACGAAAAGCGGACAACTGCACTGCACCCTATAGAAGTGTCCAGTTCGACGACTTGGGGCCACCTGCCCCCCCTTTTTTCTCGGATCATCCGAAAGCGGACCGGACCGGACCGTCCGACTGGGCGAAAACGGTCCTCCGCCTCCTCCGGTCGAACTTCCGGCCGAGAGCTCTTCCTGCCAACTGGGAGGAGGCGAAAATCGAGGAAAGTGGTAACAATGTTCGCTAGTAGTAACAAGAGAGGAAAGAGAAGCCCAAAGGATCGTGAAAAGACGAGGATGGATGCTTCAAACAGCTCTGCTAAGTATGGTGGTGCCAGGGGAGTGAGGAAAACTAAAAGGATTGCCATCTTGCAGGTAAAGGAGGGTGTTGAGCCCAAGCCCCTCAACCAATGATCCACATGTTCGGAGGAAATCTTTACAACCCGCTCACCACGGTGTTGTGCACATGTGAGTCACGGTGAAGTCTAAGACGCCCTCGACCGCCCTCTCGGTGCCTCTTCTTCCAGGCCCTCTGTATCCTCCGAAGGCGGCGTTGGGTCGGATTCAACAAGAACCCCTATTGGGCCTTGACCCCCCCCTGGATTCACCAGGTGGCCGGTCGTTTCGGTCGCGTGCGGGGGGGGGGTCATTGAGAGAAATCTGGCCGAGAACCAGACCAGGACCAAAAGAGTGAGTAGGGGAAAGGTTCTTGTTGATACGAATTCATGACCAGCACCTTCTGTTCGGCGTCACCGGGCTGGTTTCGCCCCCAGCCACTAAGCAGACAGGAAACCCCTTGTAGGTCCAGGTCATGTTCTTTTTGATAGGTATCCCTCCATAGAGGGCCAACCCTCCGCATGGCGTCACGGCGGCGAAGCCCGCCTCGCCGCCGCCGCTCCGGCGCGGACGCCCCGACCTCGGATCCGGCGAGGAGGACCAAGGGAGTGAGGCTTCAAAGCTTCCAAAGCTTCCAAAGCTTTGGTGGTTAGGTGTTGATCTTACTTCCCTAGGGAAAAAAAACAAAGCTTTGGTGGTTCCCCTGGCATTTCAGGTGTTGATCTTACTTCCCTAGGAAGTGATTTTGGATGATGTCCGATTTTGCCTTTATGTTGGGGTGTCCAGGGTATCTCCTGGTTGTGTGCGGTGCACATCAACCTGAGCCCTAAGATGCCCTAAGGGTTCAGCTCAACAGCATTCGGTCAGGATTGTGTCATAGACCCAAGCATCGAAAAAGAGACCATGAACCTGTTTCGACCAACCGGATCAACTTGGCGATCCGGAATCGACAAAACGTCCGGTCCAGTGGTGGTGTTTTGCTCTTGAGCAGGTTCTGGCCAACATCAATCCTTGATTGACCCTCTCCCGCACCAGGTTGCTGTACCTCCACATCATACCTGAATATATGTGCAATGGAAGTTCGAAGGTTTGGGAGTAGAAATGTTCTACAGTTGGTGAAAGAATTCTTAAGCGACACAGCAGTGCAAAAATCAAATCCCTTTGGCCTTCTGCAGGGCAAGCATAAGTTGATAAATGTCTTCAGAGCAAGCATTGGAACCATCTGCCCTGACAAAAATAATTACACCAGCATCGACCCCAAACAGCAGCGGCAGTCGGAGGAGATAACGGGAGTCAAAGAGAGACGAAGGGCGACAAAGCAAAATCATCTCACCCCAGCATCCAAACACGCCATGGGAGACAAAGGCAGACAAGGGGAGACAAAGCAAAGTC